GCAGGTGAGCACGTAGAGCAGCGGGTTGACCACGCTGTTGATGAAGGCCAGGCTGGTGGCGAAGGGCAGCCCGCGCCACACGAGCGGCCGCAGCTCCCGGTGGCTGTGCGAGCGCGCCTCCAGCAGGCTGAAGACGTGGTAGGGCCCCCAGCAGAGCGCGAAGGCGGCCACCACGGCCGCCACCAGGCGCACGAAGCGGCTGGAGCGCGGGCGCCCGCGGTGGCGCAGGTGCACGCTCACGGCCGCGTGGCTGGAGGCGATGATGGCCAGCGGCGCCAGGAAGGCCAGCAGGAACTTGCTCACGGCCAGGGCCACCTGGCGCGAGTTGCACGTGGCGTCGGGGTCGGGCCCGGGGCTCAGGAGCAGCAGGTTGTAGTAGCACATGACGCGGCCGTCCTCCCGCGCGATCGTGTCCCGGAACACGAAGTAGGGCACCGTGTTGAGCACGGCCAGCGCCCAGAGCGCCAGGCAGACCTTGTGGGCCGCGGCCACCGTGCGGTGGTTCTGCGCCCACACGGGCCGCACCACCTGCAGGCAGCGGTCCAGGCTGATGGCGCTGAGCAGGAAGCCGCTGGCGAACATGTTGAGGAAGAAGATGGAGGAGTGCAGCTTGCAGAAGGGGGTGCCCAGCTCCCACGAGTGGCCCACGGCCAGGAAGTAGGTGAAGAAGGGCAGGGTGGCGGCGGCCAGCAGGTCGGACAGCGCCAGGTGCAGCACCCAGGTGGTGATGACGGTCTGGCGCATGCGGCAGCCCACCAGGAACAGCACCAGGCCGTTCTCCGCCAGGCCCAGCAGCGAGGCGAGCGCGTGCAGCGCCACCGACGCGTGGTCCATGTAGCGCATGCTGGAGTTGCCGTGGCCCCCGAGGCGGCTCATCTCCCGCAGGAGCGGGCACAGCGGCTTCGCGGACGCGTTGCTCAACATGACGGGCGCTGCGAGGGAGAGAAGGAGGCGCCGAGGTGGGCAGGGCAGGGGCAGCGGGGACCCGGACCCCCGAATGTTACTGATGAAGCCCCACGGCGAGGGGAATTACATCCCAGCTCCCCTCCTTGGGCAAGCCATTTATCCTCCCTGAGTGCAACATTGTAACATGACCCAGCTCCGAGGGTTGTTGGGAGAATTAAATGAGTTAATAGATATAAGCGTCTGGAGCAGGACCTGGCACAGAGTAACACTGCATCGATTATTATTAAGCACGTGGGCTAAAATCACATGGAGAAATAGGAGTGAGGTCAGGCCAGGAAGGACTCCTTTTCCCCCGTGCCCAGAGAGCTGAAGCGTGGTTGAGGCTTCACCTGAAGGGCAGGAGGGTTCCTCGGGCCTGGGGGATGAAAGGAGTCTGTGCCTTTAAGGGAGGCCGCCCCTCCCCCACCCCAGCACCCCCAGACCTTGCCTCTCCGCAGATTCTCCTTGGGGCCCTTTGCACCCACAGTGGTGGCTGGTTGGGCGTGTTGACTGTAAACAGTGGAGCCAAGCCCCTCCTGTGATCGTTGAAGAGGAACTAAGATAAGAGTGGGGAGAGCTGGGCAGGAGGAACTGCCAGATTGCGCCTCTGGAGGCCCAGTGAAAGACCCCTCCCCTGCCTGGATGGAGGCCACAGCTGCTTTGCCTGCCCAGGAAACCCAGGTGTTCATTCATTTATTCACTCGCTCATGCATTCATTCAACAGAGATTGACTGAGAGACTACTGGGAATTGCTGGAGAAGCCAGCTTCTGGCAGCTGTGCAGACACCTGAGACGGGCACGCCCACAGCCTCATCGAGGACCTAGGCCCTCTTATCTGAAGCCAGTTGAGATCAGCGAGGGCTGAGGTGGGGCGCTGGTAGCAGGGGTGGGGAGCTCGGATGGTCCCGGGCCCCACGGCGTGCCAGGACTGCGGTAGGTTTCTTACATGGATGCTCTCCTGCTCACGGCTCTACAACAAAGGTGCCAGTTCTTCCCTCCATCCCATTTTGCAGATGAGAAAACTGAGACTCAGGTGTTTAAATAACTTGCCCAAAGCCACCCAAACAATACATACAAGTAGAGGAGCAACAGTTTAGCACTCAGCCCATTTTCTTTCCTCTCCCTCTGCTCTATGTGAGATGCTGAAGGAAGAAGAAAAGGAAAGGGGGTGGAGAGTGGTCTTCAGTATTCCTCTTTCCAGGGGAAACACTCTTGGCCAGGATGGGGAAATCCACCCCCTTCTCCAGGGACCAAGATCCTTTGTAGGGTGAGGTCCTGGGATATCACTCTAGAACTATCCTGGCAGCTGAGCCACTTGGAGCTGGGGATGAGCAGGAAGGCGGGAGGGGAGCTGTTGGGCCCGTGCTCCCTGAGAATGCTCCTACTTCCTAAGCTTTAGAGTTGTGGAGCAGTCACACTCACAGTGACCCTATGAGACCCCATTTTTTAGAAGAGGAACTGAGGTTCGAAGAAGCAAATTGCCCAACGTTCCTCAGCAGCAGTGGTGGAGCTGGGGCTCAATCTCAGCAGACAGACACATGCCATCCCCTCTCTGCTCCAAAACACCCCCTTCAGTCCAGCAGCTGCTTGTCCAAGTCCCACAGGGATGCTTAGAGAGCAGTCCTGCTGCATGCTGGGAACCCTCCAGATTGGTCTTCTGGCTGCGTAGAGTCAGCTCTTTTCCTGCCAGGGATCAGAGGGAGCCCAGCAGCTAGGGTCCTGTGTTGGCAGGAGGGTGGGGGCAGACAACGCAAGCTTTTGGAGTCAGAGACCTGGGTCTGAATCCCGACCCCTCGGCCTCCTGGCTGGGTGAACTTGGGCCGGTTACCCTGAGACTGCCGTGTAATCCTCATTAATGCTGAAGAGAACGTGGTCCCTCCTCTGAGCATCAACCCCCTCCAGTCTTTGGTAAACCCACCCCTCTGTCCTCTCCCCGGTAAAACCCCTTCTCTTGCGGGTCCAGAGAGGCCACTAAGGCTGCCCAGCCAGCCCCTGGGCCACCACCTCCTTACCTGAGCGCAGAGGGAGGGAGCACAGGACCCCAGCCCAGGAGGCAGTCAGCTCCTGGTAGCAGCACAGCAGAGGCACTGGGTCGGAGGAGGCTGCAGTGAGGCTGAGGGAGGAAATAGCTCTCAGGTCCAGAGTGTGTGTAGTGTGTGTGTTTGGGGGTGGGGTGGGAAGGCGGGGACGGCTGGAGAATGTGTTGTCACACTGACTCTGCGTTGATGGGGAAGGGACATGGCTGCTGGCAGGCCCTGGTCCCCCCTCTCCCTTTACAAAAGAGACTTTACAGAAGCCGGTGCAAGGCTTAGGAGAGGAACTGAGGTTTGGAGAAGCAACTTGCCCAATGTCCCCACACGCGTGGGGAGATAGATGTGTGCCCAGGAGTGTGAGACCAAGTGTGCAGAGGGTGGTGCTTTTTTAAAATATTTTTTATTGATCGATTGATTTGAGAGAGAGAGAGAGAGAAACATCGACTTGTTGCTCTGCTTATTTATGCGTTCGTTGGTTGCTTCTTGTGTGTGCCTTGACCAGGGATCGAACCCACAACCTTCGCGTGCAGAGATGAAGCTCTGACCTACTGAGCTTCCCGGGCAGGGCTGAGAGGGTGCTTTTGAGAGTGCCCCGCATGTAGGAGAAGTGCACGAGGAAGGAACGCCTTGTCCATCTGCCCACTGTCCTGGGCTACTGTCCCGTGACCCTGGAATCCTCCGAGAAGAAACTCCACTGCTCCTCCGAGGCAGCCGGGCAGCATGAGCCTGATCGTAAGGGACCCCAAGAGCTCATGGCCAGGAAGGCAGGGCGGGCACTGGGAGCGCACGGGGCCCGGCTGCCCATCCCTTCCCTGAAGCCCCGGCTGGGAAGTAAGCCACTCACTCCCCTTGCTGTCCCCCCCTTTTTTTCCCCTCACCCGAGGATATTTTTTCCATTGCTTTTCAGAGAGAGTGGAAGAGAGAGAGAGAGAAACATCAATGTGAGAGAGACACATCGATTGGTTGCCTCCTGCACGCACCCCAACCAAGGCCAGGGGTTGAGCCTGCAACCAAGGTACGTGCCCTTGACCGGAATCGAACCCAGGGCCCTTCCGTCCACAGGCCAACACTCTAACCACTGAGCCAAACCCGCTTGGGCAGCTGAGCCCCTTTTTGCCATCTGTGAACGGAGCAAGTGTCTACCTCACAGGCTGTGCCAAAAGGTGCCCTCATTCACAAAGCTCCTGGCACACAGTAGGTGCTCATAAAAATCCATCTCTTTCCCCTCTGGAGGAACAGTGGGTATAGGTGTAGGGCAAGGGCAATATAGCTTTTATTTAAAATGCCCTAGAATAAGATGACTGAACCATGAATGCTGGCGCTTAATTGTTGCCTCAGTCTGTCTGTACTCCCCTTGGCCGATGAAGCTTCCGAGGGTCAAGGACCATTCTTTCAATGTCCCAGCACCTTGGAGATATTCAATAAAACATGTTAATCCCTGGCTGGTGTTCCCAGTGGTTAGAGTGTCAGCCCGGGGGACCGAAGGGTCATGGGTTCGATTCCCGGTCAAGGGCACAGTACCTGGATTGCAGGTTTGATCCCCGGGCACCAGTGGGGGCGGCTGTGGGAGGCAACCAATCAATTGCCCTCCCTTCCCTCTCTCTCAAAACAACAACAAAAGCATGTTAAGAACTCAGCACCCCCATATCAGGGCTAAGGGTATCCCCCACGGGACTGACTCTACAAGAATCTTCCACTTAGGCACAGGCTTAATACAGAGCCTGATGCTTAATAAACAGGCTGGGAAACCGCAATCCGGAGTGAGGAATGAATGAAATGCTGTGACCGTGTGGTGGGGAAATTTCTCACAAGAGCCCTGATCATCTAGACCATCCGCACTAGGGAAATGTCTCTTCCCTGGGTCACGGAGGGGCCTCATCTTCCAAAGATGACTGCCCGCAGCCCTCCCTAGAAACTAGGGGGCGCTACTATTCCACTCGGGGAAGTACCTTCATCCCCCCAGCCCCCCCCAGCCCCCCCCAGCCTGCTGGCCCCTGGACATCCTCAAGGCCACGCAGGCAGGGCAGTGCCGCAGGTAAGCCCAGGGACTCTGAGGCCAGACTGCCGGCACTTGCATCCGGCACCGCCATTCCCTAGCTGTGTGACCTTGGGCCAGGACCTTCACAGCAGTTAAAATACGAATTTTTAAAAGGAACTCTTTCTGCACAGCCCCCGCCCCAAAGTGCAGGGGTTGGTGCACAGGCTGCTCTTTGGACTAAGAAAGAATCTCCTCTTCCCTCCTGTAGACACAGCTTAGCACTAGACCATGAGGCTCGGCTCGGGGGCGCAGCCCTGCCCCTGCGCCTCCGCCGGCGCCCTGTGCAGGAGCATCCCGCACAGCCTCTCCCGGGGCCTGCCGACCGCTTCCTCCTGAAGCCCTCACTCGCTGCCCCTTCCTTCAACTCCCCCGGTTGCACCCTTGAGTGGCCGGAACCCTCACTCCTGACCTTTCTCCAGCCCTTGTTTCCGATCCTGTAATCACTGTGATGGCTCATCTCCCAGCACTCCCTGAGGACAACTTACAAATAGTGAGGACAACAAACCAAAAAAGTGCTGCAGATGCGCAGGCCCGAAGGCGTTTTCTGAAGAAGTCCTCGATGTTTATTTCTGTGGGCACCTCGGCTGCACTCCCACGGTGGGAACCGGGAACCGGGCTCCCCAAGCACGCACTCCCGCGGCCTGCAGGAGGCCCAGGCCCAGCTCCCTACTGCCACCAGCACCCACAGGAGGAGGCCTGACTCACAGGGCCAAACGCCTGGGCGATCCAGCCCTGCCCATGCCTCCATCTTTATTTCTGCTCCTCCCTAATCACATCCTATCATCAGTCAGCATTTATCACCACCTTCCCACATCCTGTACCTACCAGGCTGTTTCTGTGCCCTTGCTTATGCCGTTTGCTCCCTGCTCTAGAATACTATTTCTTCTCTTGGCCTTTTGGTGAACTCCTATTCATCCTGTAAAACCCTGGCCAGAGGTTGCCTCTTCTGGGAAGCCTTTACTGATCTCTTTAATAGACCCTATCTCCCTCCCACTCCTCCCTCCCACATCTCTGCCTCAGTAAATATCCTGCCACCTTTGCCTTCTGCGGTAACTTTTTCACAGAACTGCTTCCCACATTCATGATGAGCAACTTGGGGGCAGAGACTGTTCCTCTATTTTACCGCCTCACCCCCAAAGTCAATGAATCTCCAGTATTGGAGTGTGAACCCACAAAGGGCCCCAGGGCCTCTGGACCGATTGTTCTTGGTGGCCTGGTGCCATTCCCTCTGCCTGTTTCACCTTCTGCAGGTACAACCTTGGGGACTAATAACTTTTTGTTGTTATTAACTAATATGCCAGTTTATCTTCACAAAACAGCAATAGCATGTTAGCATCCTAGGGCTGCCACACAAAGTACCACAACAGAAATTTATTCTCTTGTAGCTCTGGAGGCCAGAAGTCTGAAATCTGGGTCTCAGTAGGGCCGCCCTCCTCTGAGGTCTCCAGAGCAGGCTCCTCCCACTCCTGTCACTCCAGTCTGGGCCCCCCCTTCACAGGGTCTTCTCCTTCTCCCTGAGGACATTTGTCATTGGCTTTGTCATCCAGATAATCCAGGATGATCTTATCTTGAGATCCCTAATTACCTCTGCAAAGCCCCCTTTTCCAAATAAGGTCACATTCACAGTTTCCAAGCATTAGGATGTGGACATAGCTTTTGGGGGGGCAGCACTCCACCCACTATAAATAGTAATAGCTACCAGGAGAGCAAGGCAGAGTCACTGCAGTCATGGGAGGGACTCATCCAGCCTCAAGAAGGTGGCAGAGAAATATTTGATGAAGAGGAAGGGGGGGAAAAATGCCCAGATGACAAATCTTTATTTCACAGACTGTCAAATAATATTATAACTTTTAGTATCATATCCCGCATGACTCCTTCCCACCGGGCTGAGTGGGAACGGTGGGGGATTGGAAAAAAGACACGAGAAACAGAAAGTGGGATCAGGAGGTTCACCGCATGCTGACGGCATACAGGCGGCACTAAACAGGCTTTGCAGCTTTATTTTATAGAGCACTCGTTTATCTCTAAGTCATTCTTGGAATGGTATGTCATTGTTACCGGTCTGCCTGGCCACAGCCACGGTTCCCCCAGGCTGCCCCCAGGCAGGGCAAACCTGCTTGCTCACATCTGGGTAAGCCCTTCTCAGTGCTCCCCATCCCTGGGGATGAGGCTTAGGCTTTGCCGCGCCCCTGGGACTGGCAGGGCCTTGCCAGCTTACAGCCCCTCCCCGCAGTTTGGAGCACACCCACTGAGAGTACACGCTACACTGCGTGTTAAGGAAAACCCAGAAATCTTCCATATGTATTTGTGGAGTCTCCAGATGTGACTGTCATTAATAATTATGCCACCTAATTATAATTTCCGTGGATATTTGGAGGACGTACTGTTTTTGTGAAGACTTGGTTCCAAGGACAAAAAGCTAGAAGTTAGGATCTTTGGTTTGTTTCTTTGCTCACCTTTCTGATTGACTTGTCCCCTTGTGGCCATATTAATTGTAACAACAACAAAAAAATAGTAATAGCTAACATCTGTGGGGTGCTTACTGTGTGCAGGCACCAGGTTGGGCACCTCCATGTATTAGCTAATTTAATCCTCACGACCACCCTTGTCTTTCTGCTCAGCCTTGTCTTCCCAGCCTAGAAAGGCCCCTTCCTCCCTGGGCTCCCCTTCTGTTCCTGGTTTTTATTAGCAGAAGAGGGTGGAGAATTAACACTTAACTAGCACTTAAATCTCATGCACCCACTTATTCTTACCCCCATTTTACAGATTAAGAAATTAATTGTTGTCCTGTCCTGATGGTCGCTCCCTGCAGACTCTGTCCTCAGTGCTTTACGTGGCTTATTTTATTAAATCCTCACAAAACCCTACAAGTTAGGTATTGTCATTAACCCCATTACACAGACGAGGAAATTGAGTCACCAACTAGGTAAGTGGTTTTTTCAGGGTCTCCAGTGGGTGAGTGGAGAAGCTGGGATCCCTCCCAGGTGGACGAGCTCTGGTGCCCATGAGTCTTTGGACAGATGTGGAATCATAACCAAGGGCTCAGGGCTCCCCTTCTCCAGGAGAGTTTGGCACCTTTTTCTCAAAAGCCCTTCAGCCCTTGGCCATGAGGAAGCTCCCTTGCTTTTCCTCTGCCTCTCCAGGGCCTTGGGAGACATGCTCTCCTCGTGGGTAAGGTTCATGATCAGTTCGGAAACGCCTTTCTGTGAATTACCTAATCCCGTCCCCACCAGGATCATTGTCATCCCCATTTACAGAGGGGGGAAAGGCCCCTTCACTCCTGAGCAGTGAACCCAGAGTGGAATCCAGGTCTCTCAACTCTTCTGGCTACTGCTCTCCCTGCCACCTAAAGCGCACCCCCCTCCCCCAAAACCCCGGTCAGGGAAAGCTCTCGATTACAAGAGAAAGCAATAAATATAGAAGGAATGATAATTACATAGTCTCACAGTAGCTCCTCAGATACTTGCTATTTACAAAGAGAAACACGGAACCTTTACAGTGGAGAAACCTGGCAGGCCCCATCTTACCCAAGTGATCGCGTTTACACCCATTTACTTTGGCCATAATAGGACACACCCTCGTGGTGAGCCTCCTGGTGGGACGCACTGAGAACCTATCACTTCTGGGGCAGTCCCGCCTCTTAAGGGCTGAACTGCGCCCCCACCTCCCCATTCACACGTTGAAGCCCTAACCCCCAGGACTTCAGAATGTGGGCCTCCTTGGAGATAGGCATTTAAGAGGTGATGAAGTTAAAATGAGGCCATAGGGGGCCGGGCCCTAACCCTATCTGACTGGTGTCATAAGAAGAGAAAATTAGGACACACAGAGACGTGGACTTCTAACTTCCAGAACTATGAGAAAACAAATATCTGTTCAAGCCACCCAGTCTCTGGTGCTTTGCTATGGCAGCCCAGGCAAACCAGTGAACTGCCCCAAATGCCCAACCTGAATCTAATCAGGAGGAAACAGCAGAGAAACAGAAACGAGGGCCTTTCTGCAAAATAAGAGGCCTGCACGCCTCCAAAATGCCAAAGGTATGAAGGACGAATAATGACAGAGGGCCTGTCCCAGACTGCAGGAGGCGAAAGATACATGATCTTGACCTTGGGCTGGATGCTGGTTTAGGAAACAAACAAAAAAAGCAAAACAAAAAAAACCCACCTTTCTCTTTTGCTATAAAGCCATTATTATCATGACAATTAATGAATTGAGCGAGTGAGGTTTGTAGATTACACAACTATGCAGAGCAATGCTGATTTCCTGATTTTGATCTTCTTACTGTGGTTACCTGTTTTTAAGAAACATGCACTTATGGGGTAAAGGAGGAATAGATTATACCTGTAACCAGCTCGAGCTCTCGAATGCTATGGGAGACCTCGTGTGGTCAAGATCCTGCTGCTTTAGCTTCCTTCAGTCTGGGACAGGCCCTCTGTCATGAGCTAACACAAGAAAGCCCTTGTCACTGTGCCCGCATGTCAGCCAGCCGGTCTTCATGCTGTTTTTAATAGATTTTATTTCTTAGAACTGCGCTAGATTTACAGAAAACCTGAGAGGACAGTGCAGCGGTTTCCCATATCCCCCGCAGCTGGCCTCCCCTATAATTAACGCCTGATGTTAGGATGGCACGTTTATTCCAGCTAATGAGCTGAAGTTGACCCATCGTTAGTAACAAGTCCATTTCCTTAGCTTTTACCTAAACTCCCTTTTCTGTCCCAGGAGCCCACCCAGGAGGCCAGGTTAGTTGCCTTAACTCTCAGGAGAGCTCTATGAGGTGCTACATACTCACCTGTCGCCCCCATCCGGCTGCAGGTTTTTAGGGCAGGGCTGTGGCTCAGGGCTCGAGCCTGACGGGGCAGGGAGGGGGAGATGAGGGCCGGGGCTTGAGTCTGCAGGGCTGCCTCCCAGCCATGGATCTGGCCCCACAGCCCACCCACAGTCTCCCCTTTCCTAGAAAGCTCCCTCTTCCCCAGCCAGAATCACTCAACTGAGCCAGCATCAGCCCCAGCTGCGAGGCAGAAAACCAGGGTGAGGGGCAGCTTTTGGAGCCGTTCCTCAGGGCCCCGGGCTGGGAGGGCACTTCCCCCTGCCTTCAGGGCGGGAGTTTTACCAGAGCCCCTGGTGGCCAGGGAGCGCCCCTCCAGGTGGGCCCCCTTTGCCTTTAGAAACTCCCACTTGCCACCTTCCTCATTTAAGTCCCGAGCCCTCAGCTCCTTACAGCTGGGAGGGGCTACTGTGGGCTCCGTCGTGTTTCAGGTGTCAGGAGCCTTGGTCATGGCCTGGGGTTACTGCGTGGCCCTGTTGCTGCTGGCCACTCTGGGGCTGGGTCAGCAGCCACACTCCAAGCCCGGTGTCCCAGGCCTGTGGCATAGCTATGACTGTGGGGTCAAGGGCATGCAGCTGCTGGTGTTCCCCTGGGAAGGCCGGACTATTCAGTTCAAGGTGATGGGTGAGTGCCAGCTGAATCTCGGAACCCACCATCCTGGGCTGCAGTGGGAGGCTGGGGTCCTTTCCCTGGAACAGGAAGAGTGGGGGCCTCCCTCCAGCCTGAGGGTGGCGGCCCCCAGCACATAGGGAGGAGGAGGGAGGAAGGAAGGCCGGTTCCCAACCTCGATTTCCCTGGTCCCCCCCAGACAGCTTCTCCCAGGCCAGTCAGTGTGCAGGGGGATCACCCGGCCATTGTGCTGAGCTGCAGGGCCCAGGCTCTGCAGGGCCAACCACACCCAGCTGCTGCGGCTGCTGGCCCACCAACCGCTCTCTAAGAGGCAGGGCGTGGCCCGGTGTGGAGAAAAGGGAGGTGGGTTTCGAATCAGGATTTGCATCGGTAGCTTCTAAGCTGTGTGATCTTGAACAACTATCGGACCCCTTGGAGCCCACTTACCTGTAAGATGGGAAAGATGAGCCCAAACTTGCCATGTGGTCTGAACAGAAGTGCAGGGGACGTGCCCACACCCAGAGGGTGCCCTGGCTGTTCTGGGCTGACCAGGTAGGTGAACACCTAGCAGGTGTCCCCAAGTGAAGTGACTACAAAAGCCAGTTAACCTGGCAGACTCAGCTCTTTCCACAAAATCCCGAGTTCGAATCTGTTTCACCCCTCGTTGTGTGCGTGTGCCCGGGGAAGCTTGCTCACTCTCTGTGCCTCAGCTGCCTCGTTTCCAGAACTCGGATGACTAGGTTTGAAAGAACTGATATAAAATACTCAGCCCAGTGCCTGAGCCCTACTTATTTCTCCACTACATTTTCATTCCTGCCCACTGCTGAGTGCTACCAGCAGGGAACCTGAGCTAGAAAGAGCCTAAGACGAGCTGAAGCCAGCCGTTTCCTCACAGATGTGGAAACTGAGACCAGAGAGGGGAAGGGGCTTTCCCAAGACCACACAGCAAGCTAACAGCAAAGCTAAGTCTGGAACCTGGGTCCCCTGCTCCTGAGTGGAGAATCTTCTCAGCAGACCCCAACGGCCTCTGGCTTCACTCTTCAGCCCCCCTGACCCCTCCCCTTCATCCCTCTTTCCCTTCCTGGCCCCAGATGAATTTGGGAACCAGTTTGAGGTGAACAATTGCTCCATCTGCTACCACTGGGTTACAGCCAAGCCCCAGGGGCCCACAGTCTTCTCTGCTGATTACAAAGGCTGCCACGTGCTGGAGAAGGTAGGGACCCCTTGCTGCTCTAGGGGAGAGTCCCATGGCTGGGAGTTAGCTTGGCCTAAAACAGTATCAGGCTGGGGAGGCCCCTCATGGACCAGGGATGCATCGGCACCTAAGATCACTCAGTGAGCTGGACTGTCGTGGGTACCCGCCCACAAATCCTGCCTAACACCCAGCTGGGCTCTCCATGGCCATCTGCCTGGGTGCCGAGTGGCCTCGCCTAGCTGCTCTATTTGCCTTCTCACCTGCAGGACGGGCGCTCCCACCTGAGAGTGTTCATAGAAGCTGTGCTGCCCAATGGTCATGTTGATGTAGCACAAAATGTTACTCTGGTCTGTCCCAAGCCTGACCATACCTGGACGACTCCAGACAGCCAGCTGGTGCCATCCACCACATTCTCACACTCGACCCTGAGTATCGGTTCCCTCCGCCCCACCACACAGCACAGCTTGGCCCATTCAGCCCCTGCCTCACCATCCTTTGGATCTGGCCCCACCCCCCCCACCTGGGCTGGCCCCCATGGGGGCACCTTGGAAAACTGGGAAGTTGACAAGCCAGATTACATAGGTACGTAGGACTCTTCTGTGTACATACACCCCGTGTCCAGGAACTTGTAGCCTATCAGGTAGCCTGAAAGCCTTTTACTAGGCTCAAGAAGCCACCTCCCTCCATTTCCCTAGAATCTGCTGTCCAACTAGCTTCTCATCTCCTCACCACTCTGTCACCAACCCTAGGCACCCATCTGACCCCGGAGCAGTGTCAGGGGCACTCTGGGCACATCCCCTGCATAGTGAGAAGTTCAAAGGAAGCCTGTCAACAGGCTGGCTGCTGCTATGACACCACCAGAGATGTTCCCTGTTACTATGGCAACACAGGTACAACTTCCCATGCCAAACGGGGTCCGGTCCTCTGAATCCTGAAGTGATAGGAGGGCTTTCTCCTCTACCCTGGTCCTAGGGGAGCCTGACCCCAGAATAGATGCAGAACAGACCTTCAGATGGGGACCACATGCCCCAGCTTGCCTGACAGTGTCCCCAGGGAACTACTAATAGATCTACCCTTGCATTTACCTTTAGATCTAGAACCTCCCAACCTGGGTGATAAGTTAGATGGTGATCTTACTTTTAGACTATAGTTCAACTGTCTGTTCCATGCATGAGAGAACCTGGGTCTGTAAAGGGTTTGCTGCACAGCGCAAGCAGAGAGAAAGAGAATCGGGGGTCTTGACTCCTAAGGCAGCACTTTCAACACTGATTGTCACCAGCCAGCCCATCCCCCTGTGTCTGTGCTGGGTGGGCTCTAAACCCCAAAGCCCTGATTCATGTCTTTGATCCACCTTTGTCCCAGTGACTGTCCAGTGCTTCAGAAATGGCCACTTGGTCCTGGTGGTATCCCAAGAAACAGCCTTGGCACACAGGATCAACCTGGCCAACATCCACCTGGCCTATGCCCCTACCAGCTGCTCCCCGACCCAGGAGACGGGGTCCTTTGTGGTCTTCCACTTCCCTCTCACCCACTGTGGCACCACAGTCCAGGTAGGCACAGGGGCCATGGGCTGGCGCCCAGCACTGGCCCCGGGAGGGCCTCACCCAGCTGTCGTCTCCGCAGGTGGTTGGCAATCAGCTCATCTATGAGAACCAGCTAGCGTCTGACATCGACGTCCAAAAGGGACCCCAGGGCTCCATCACACGGGACGGCAGCTTCCGGTGAGGGGGCGCCTTCCTCCAAAAGGCTGGACTGTGGGCTTGGGGGTGAAGGGAGCGTAGGTGAGCTCAGAACAGGACTTGGAGCCCTCTGGGTTCATGTTCAGGCTCCATCAGCTGACTTTGTGACCCCATCCCAGCCTCCCCAGCTGGGCAGGGGCTGATGATATCCAATGGGGCCTGGCAGGCAGAAGCCACCGCAGTGCCTGCAAGGGCCAGGGTCCCCAAGGGCGCTTGCCTTTACCCCTCCCAGGACTAAGCTCAGAAACTAAGCAACCTCAGGAGGAAGCCGAGGCTCTGACTGTGCTGTCCCTGCCTCCTGATCTCACAAGTTAGTCACAGATGAGGCAGAAGACACCTGGCTCTGGGCTCTCAGTGTAGTGGGGAGAGGGGCAGAGGGAGAACCCCTCAGTGAAAGGGGCCTCCAGGACCTGCTGACTTGGGTGTCTGCAGATGCCTCAGGGTGCTGGGCACTGGCCCGCTAAGATCGGGCGGCGCACTCAGGCTAGCGAGGGACACTAGGCCCAGCAACAACTGCAGGGACAATGACAATACTGGGGCGCAGTCTTGTGATCTCACTGATCCTACCACAGCCCTCAGAGGGGGCGGGGGCAATTGCCATTTTACAAATGAAACAGGCTTAGGTTAAAGCGTTTGCTTGTGGTCCCATGGCCGGTAAATGGCTAAGTTTCAAACCCAGGTCTGCCTGCCAGGTTTGACTGGCAGGGGGAGCTTCAAATACCAGAAGGAGGTGAGCATCCGTCAGCCCCATGCCCCACCCCCACACCTCCATCCGGCTGTGCCCTGCAGTAGAGAGGGCCTGGCATGGTGGGCTTGAGCTGTCCCAGGAAGGTGAGGATGGCAGGGGGTAGGGGCCGGGGTGCATGTCACCCTAGCGATTACTCTGATGGTATCCATCTGCCTGCTGGACTGGGCCCTGCTTGTTGCACCCACATCGTGGGTACTTGGTTTATGATGTAAGCAAGATGTGTGACACTGTCTTCTCCCCTCATCCCCTCACACATGAACTTCAGGCTTCACGTTCGCTGCATCTTCAATGCCAGTGACTTCCTGCCCCACCGGGCATCTGTCTTCCCACCCCTTTCACCAGCCTCTGTGACCCAGCCTGGCCCCCTGCGGCTTGAGCTTCGGATCGCCAAGGGTATAGTGTCCCCATGCCTCCTCTCTGTCCCCACTCATCAGACATACAGCCCCAGGCTCACGAGCCTCTCCCTGCAGATGAGACTTTCCGCTCCTACTATGAGGAAAGGGACTACCCCATCGTGAAGCTGCTCCTGGAGCCCGTCCCCGTGGAGGTCCGGCTCCTGGAAAGGACAGACCCCCGCCTGGTCCTGGTGCTGCACCAGTGCTGGGCCACCCCCAGCGCCAACCCCTTCCAGCAGCCCCAGTGGCCCATCCTGTCAGATGGGTGAGTGGTGGCAGGTGCTCAAGCTGCCCCAGGGCTCCCTCTGCTTGCCTCCCCTCCCTCAGTGAGTGGCTTCCTTGACTTCTTCCTTCCCAGGTGTCCTTTTGAGGGCGACAGATACAGGACCCGAATGGTAGCCTTGGACAGGGCTGAGCTGCCTTTCCCGACTCATTACCAGCGCTTCACCGTGGCCACCTTCACGTTCCTGGACTCTGGCTCCCAGAAGGCCCTCAAGGGACCGGTAAGAAGCGCGTGTTCCGTTCCTGGTGCCTTAGGTTCCTCGTGCCTGCTGTCACCAAATCCCTCAGCACCTGCAAGCTGCTGCAGACAAAGGCTCCTAGACGGGCATGGTTTCACCACGTGTCCTGAACGGCCCCAGGTTCTGGCCTCAGGGCACCAGAGGTGACTGGTTAACAACTCAGAGGGAGGAGGGCAATTGCCATCAGCCCTAAACCTGAGCACTGGTCACAGTGCTGAGAGCAGCCTCGCTCTGAACTAGAAACTGTCTGATGTAATTCTGCTTTGAGTTTTTATAACCCAGCAACTTCTCCAGAACTTAAATGTGGTAAACTTGGGTACTTTTAGGTTTTCTACATGGGCCACACTGTCATATAACTTTAATTCTACTGAACAGTATATATCTCTTTGACATTAACATACACAGATCTCTATATATCTTAAATAGCTGCATAGTTATCACATCAGAAGTAGACAGACTTCACGGGCTGGCACCAGAGGATGGCTGAATCATGTCGGCTGTGAATCTTTTCTGACTGAGCCCCTGACCTGCTGGCTGAAGGGGCTCCATTGGCCAGGGCTCGGGGGTGCTGGTTCAGGTCAGCTCCTACTTCTACTCCTTTCGGGAACTGCCCTTGGCCTTGTGTTTCTGGAAGCAGAGCCAGCCTGTTCTCTCTGCCCTACGACACTGGTCACTGGGGGCCAACCCTGGTCAAGCCCCAACTTCTTGAAATTCCCTCTGTCGGTCAGTGACTAGCTCCAGGAGCAAGACAGCCCTCCCAGGGGGCTCTGCACTCTGAGGCAGTGTGTGCGGAGCCGGCCATGGGCTGGGGCTCGCCGGGTGCAGTGGTTCCTTCCATAGGCCCAGAGCCATCGGGAAGGAGAGATGCATGGATTGCAAGTGGGGTGCAGCACACAGGGCTCTGAACCTCACCAGCAGGCGCTGCAGTCTCAGTCCTGGTCAACATGCCCA